TTATCTCTTTCTCCTACACAGATATAATCCTGTTGAAGGCAGGGATCATTCTTATAATTCAGTTGTGTTTTGTTTTGTTTTTTTTTTAAAGATTGGCACCTGGGCTAACGACTGTTGCCAATCTTTCTTTTTTGTTTTTCCCCCTGCTTTATCTCCCCAAACCCCCCCGTACACAGTTGTATATCTTAGTTGCAGGTCCTTCTAGTTGTGGGATGTGGGACGACGCCTCAACGTGGCCGGACGAGCGGTGCCATGTCCGCGCCCAGGATCCGAACCCTGGGCCGCCGCAGCGGAGCGCACGAACTTAACCACTCAGCCACGGAGCCGGCCACTATTTGTCTTTACATTTAACAGTTTGTACTGCATCTAAGAAAATAGAGCCATTCTCTTACTTTTTTCTAAAACATAGGCATTTTTTTTAAAATAGAATTTTAATTTTAAAACAGTCACACAAATGGCCAAGTAGCTAATATAAAGGTATAAGAAGGGCAAGATGCAAAAAACTAACAAGTGATAGGGACCTCCTGCCAACTAGAAAGCACATGTCCTAACTAATAAGCACAGAGATGGTTTGCCACTGAGCTCTGGCAAAATGAGACGCAGATCAACTGATCAATTGTTGCGTAAGCTACTGATTTTCCCAAAGCAACTGCAGACTTCGAAAAAACAAGAGAATATAAAACTCGAATAATTACCAATTTTTAAACCTGGCAACTAATTAGGAATTTCTGCTTTTTCCCTTTCCTGGGAAAAATGATTCAGAGATGAGAATTGTGCCTTCAATACAATAAGTAAGCAAAGTTGGAATTCCCTTGCTTGGAGAGGGAAGAAGGCAGAGCAGGTAAGATTGAGCTGCTTCTATAATTTGAAAGACATAAATTGGAAGAGTTTTACCTGGTGAAGTTGTGGGCTTAGTGGAAGAGCGGCATACATGTATGTCAGAAATATGAGACATTTAATTTTAAGTTATTGACACATGGTTTTGTATAGTTTTGATTGGTGAATCATATAAACATGTTACACATTCTAACTGAATACATACGATTTGATAAGAAAAACAGACTATAAGATAGAAGTCAACTGGGCCAAACAAATCAAATCTTAGGTCTAAACTCAGCTTATGAGCCCCAGTTGACTTAGACTTCTATCTTATAGTCTGTTTTTCTTATCAAATCGTATGTATTCAGTTAGAATGTGTAACATGTTTATATGATTCACCAATCAAAACTATACAAAACCATGTGTCAATAACTTAAAATTAAATGTCTCATATTTCTGACATACATGTATGCCGCTCTTCCACTAAGCCCACAACTTCACCAGGTAAAACTCTTCCAATTTATGTCTTTCAAATTATAGAAGCAGCTCAATCTTACCTGCTCTGCCTTCTTCCTTCTCCAAGCAAGGGAATTCCAACTTTGCTTACTTATTGTATTGAAGGCACAATTCTCATCTCTGAATCATTTTTCCCAGGAAAGGGAAAAAGCAAACGGTTTTGAATTCTTTGGGCTTCAGTAACTCCGTAGACAGCTCTAGGTATGTCATTAGCTTCCTATTTCTCATCATGTACAGTTTTAGATACATGAACTGATGATAATCAGCAACGATTTTAAGATCACAAAATTCTAAATAACCCAGGAACCTGAGGATTAGTTCCCACATATGGGAAAGGATCTGCTGTAGAGCTGGAGAGAAATTCTACCAAGTGGTTTCTCATAACAGGACCCTTTAGGCTGCAAAGAAATCAGAGATTTCCTTGTGGAAGTTATAATTTGTCAACGAACATGGTCTAAGTGAATTAAAGACCTGGGTTCATAAGGATGGTAAGACGATTATGCTAAAACCTTATAGTCTAACAAACTGGCCTTACCTATGTAACATAAATTTAGCAATGTGAACACAAAATACTCTAAATAAGTTCTGGTGTCAATAAATGTCTTTTTCACTAGAGAAGTAATTACAAAACTTTCAACTTACCTAACCTCTGAGAAAATTCATAAAATTTCTTTAATTTGCCTACTAGTGGAACAACTGCACCCCATGCCTTCTCTTGCAACTTCTCATCTGCTGGATGCTGGATTGCCTTCAAAATCCAAAGAATAAAAATAGTTAGATTTTAAAAAATCACAACGTTATTTTTACATTAAAATACAGGTTTCGGCAAATGGAGGAAACCCTGGTAATAATCTATAAAGTAAGGAATAATGGACCCAGGGATGCTCAGCTTCGCAACTCCATGGCTACTTTATTTTATTTTGTTTTTGAGAAAGATTAGCCCTGCGCTAACTACTGCCAATCCTCCTCTTTTTGCTGAGGAAGAGTGGCCCTGAGCTAACATCCGTGCCCATCTTCCTCTACTTTATCTGTAGGACGCCTACCACAGCATGGTTTTTGCCAAGCGCTGCCATGTCCACACCTGGGATCCGAACCGGCGAACCCCGGGCCGCCGAGAAGTGGAACATGCGAACTTTACCGCTGCGCCACCGGGCCGGCCCCTCTGTGGCTACTTTAAACCTGCTATAACACACTCTTAGTCACCCTTGCAATGGATATGGATATAACGGAATAAAAAACGACACACTCTATGTTCGTTAAATATGCTTTGATACTTTTAGAGTCACAAAAAGAAACAACTTTATATTGTTTCCCATATCACAGACAGACTTTCTTAGTAGTTCTCTAAGAATTATTTTAGTGGAATAAAAGGCAACCAAAAAAGTAAGGCAATAAATGAAACAAGACGCCAACTCTCGGAACAGGCCAAGAAACTTTCAATACTTCAAATTGTAGGGTCCAAACTAGTTTTAAAAAACCTACCAAACACTTAAGAACCTAAATCAACCTAAAAAATGTGACGTAGAAATTGTCAAAGATTCTTATTCCCTATAACTAAAATCCTATTCTGGAATCCAAATTTTCTTAGGCTTTCCTGAATAAGATGAAGAAAAACTAATTTCAAATCAGAAATGGGAGAAAATGAAACAATCTAGATACTCTAATATGAACATGAATATGCCTCTTTCTTTGCCTGGTCTTTCAAACCATAGGTAATCTTTTGTGAACACAGACGGTTGCTCCCCAAATATATTTTCTTGCTTTCATCTTCCTTTTTCTTACAGATGCTTTTCTTAATCCTTTATGAAACAAGGCTTTCTTCAACAACCTGGCTTGCTTTCTCTAACATCTTCAAACAAGCTAAACTGAATATTTCAAAGGGACTGTGCTATTGTCCTGATGTATATAAAAAAACTCCTTTTAGCCTCAAGCCCAGCCTCAGCAACGTTTTATATCAAGTAGTAAAAATCTGTTTATTTTATTTATTATTCAGGAAATAAGCAAACAGAAAAATTTTTTAATGTTCCTCTCTTGAGAAGCCTATCCAACTTTTCTCACAAGGATCTAAAAATGATTTTCTAAATATCTACTCATGCCATATCAAAATACTCTAGCAAATGCCACCTATTTTCATACCTTAGTAGAGTTAACTATTTCCCTGGCTCTGTCTTGCCTGGATTTAGAACTGAAGACACTGGCTGCTCTTTTATGACAACATTTTATGGTTCTTTTTAATTCTGGTTCATTCTCCTTTCACACCAGTTTGACTGCTGTTTGATACTGTTTTTGGTACAGCACCCCTTATAGACCAGCATGCAAAGGGCACTTAGTAAATGTCAATGGTAACGTCGTCGTGGAGCAGTATTCTCTCACTTTCAAAGCTGTTACAACTGTTATGGATATTACAAAACATTCGTGGAAAGTTCTCATTCTCTCTCTAGTGTTTTATCCTAGAGAATAAGCTTTATTTATTTAATAGATTCTATCTTAACTTTTATTCTATTTTAGAGTCATGTTTAACAAAATGCTATTTAAACAAAATATATCTCATTCCACATCATTAGCATAGTGATAATGGTAAACTCAATGTATGTTCTACATGTCAGGCACTGTGCTATGCTTTCTTCATGGAATATCTAACTTTATCCTCAAAATACTTCTATGAGTTACTTTCACATTTTTACTACCATGAATAAAGTGGCCATAAAATTTTTTACATTTATCTTCCTCTTGAATGGTAGTCTTTCAGAGAATTTTTTTTTTAAAGATTGGCACGTGCGCTAACATCTGTTGCCAATCTTTTTTTTTTTTTCCCTTCTTCTCCCCAAAGCCCCCTGGTACATAGTTGCATATTCTAGTTGTGTGATTTCTGAGAATATTTTCTAAAATGTTAAATATCTGGTGCAAGAGTACAAATAATTTTATAGATCTTATTTTACACATTGCCAAACTGACCTCCAAAAGGACAACCATTTTACAATACCACTTGCATTAATTAGGACAACCTGTTTCTTCATAAACTAACCAATTTTGAGCTTTTAACAATTTATCATTATGTGCAGTAAAACCTGACAGCGATAGGCACTTAGGAGCAAATCTGAACATCCTCTATTGTCTGTGCATTTTCATAGGTAGAAAGGTTGTTCTACCAAGTCTATTAACTCTCTACACTGACCTGTGACACATACGGGGGTGTTATCTGTTCTTTGCATATTTTATATATCTTCTGCTTTTATTTGTACCTTCCTTTCTTAATTTAAATTGTTTTTCTACTATTCAGAAATCTTTCTGTTTACAGATAAGCCCAAAAAATGATATGCTTTCCTCAGTGAAAATTTCTTCAACTGCTTTAATACACATTTATCCCTCATCTATCAAAGATTTAAATTGTTTTTTAACACGAGTTTCTAGCTCACATATTTTATTTACCTATTTTTCTGTCCTTAATTCCTTTACCCAACTGTTTAATGGTGAGATCTTTGTAATAATTCTCAAAGCCTGATAAGGTGAATCTCTTACCATTGATTTTTATTCTCCTGTTATGTTTCAGTGTTCTTCAGTGTTATTTTTCTATACAAACTTTTTTTTTTTTAACTTTGAGACCTTAATTTACTTTCTCACATGTCCAATCTAGGAATACTGTGAATGAACTATATGTTGCCACATTTTGTATCTCCTCAGGAAACACAGCACTACTGACTGACTGGCATCCTATGGAGAACTCAATCTTTGGTCATAGCGTTAAGAGCTCCTGGTTTCACAGCTCCATAAGCCCTCTTTGAAATGACCTATACATAAACTTTTCTGTTATTTTATTCTCTTCTAGAAGATTACAACTAAATCTTAATATGTACTCAATTAAGTTAATATAAAGACTTTGGGGAAAACACTATTTTTTATTATAGTGAGCCTTCCCACACATAAGCAGAGTAACCCTTCTACCACTTGGGAAGATTTTTACAAATCCTAAGAGTTCCACTTAAAAAAAAAAAATCAAATAAGTAATGGTGTTTGTCTCTATAATGAACGAGATTATTTTTTCTTTATTGTTTATGGGAGATAAGTATAACCAGATGATAAGAACTCATTTATAACACAAACTTTAAAGAAGTTTAATGATATAACACTGATGAACAATTGAAAAATAATTTTTAGCACTAACACTTAACTTAGAGACACTATGAAACATTTTTAGAACAACTTGTGAATTGGTGTGACTTATAGGGAAAGAAGAATTTACCAATTAGTAAATTAAGATCCTGCTTGATCATTTAAACCTTTACTTTCCATAAACGTTTTATTTTTCAAAGTATGTTTAAATGTTCAGAGAACTTGAATTCCACAGAAATTGTTACATGCCTTGCTTTACTGAGATGTTAAGGTTTTACCTAAGCTAATGATGTTGACAAGATTAGTGTAAAGCTGTTGTCTTTATTTCTTCAACAGCCGCTAACTGCTTACAAGCACTGCACCAGGTGCTGATAACACAAAAATTAGTCAGAGACCAGGTTCACCCTCCTCAAGTTGGAGGCACAGTGGTGGAAAGAGAAACGTCAAATATCAGCGGTTTAAAAAAAAAAAGTGATGGCTACCATAAAAGAAACGTGTGCAAATTGCTAGGGCAAAAGAGGAAGGGGGAAGCAGGAGATTTTCGGGATTTGAAAGAAGGCTAGGAATTGAACAGGAAAAGAAACAAGGAAGGGCATATTCCAGACAAAAACAAAGGCAAGGAAGTGTATGTGTGCAAGACATTCAGGGAACAAGCAATCCAGTGCAGGAGAGGTGAAAAATGGAATTCACATTATCTAAAATTTCCCTCACTTAATGGATCACCAACTGCTCACCTAAACTAGAAACCACAGAATCACTTAACCTCCCCTTCTCCTTTATATTAAACATCCAGTCAGTCACGAAAACCTGTGTCCCCTTAGTCCAAAACATTTCTTGAATCATCATCTTCTGGTGCCTGTACTTAATTCTGCCTTCACTATACTCCAAATATCATTAGAGGAATGAGGTTGGATATAGATTGTCAATCCACCAGATTCATCCTTGATAACTTTTGTTCTATTTTATGGAGAAGAATAATAGAAGCAGAAGGGTGAGGGAAAATGAAGAAACAAAGTGTTGGCTATGCCCTCAGGAAATGTGGTAATAAGAGAGAAAGAGAAGGTCCAGAGGCCAGGGAGTTTCCTTGGGTAGGATAGGACACCTGAGTAGGTGTACACACTGAGGGGAAGAAGTCAATAAAAGAAAAAAGATAGAAGACATGATTAAGAGAAGGAATAATTAGAAGAGTAAAGTTCCAGAGTAGGAGGGAGAACAAAGGTAGAGAAGTTAGACTTGGTAAGAAGTAGGGACATAGCTTCTTCTGAAAAAACAGAAGAAATGGGAAAAGAGACAGATGGAAATCTGGATGAGCTCAGAGGTTTGGGAGAAGAAAATTGAGGGAGACCACACCAACATTTGGTCTGTGCTGTAAAGTCGTGAGACAGGGTTAGAGGAGTCCAAACTGCAAAGATGATTTCAGCTTTCTCCTAGGAAGCTTAGGAGAAGCACAAAAAATAGACTGGCAGAACAAAAAGCCACAGAGCTATGTTCTCGCCTCTCCTCCAAAAAAAGTACAATATAGTCCGCCATGGATACTATAAATTTCAGGTGTGAGAACAACCAAAAGAATAAATTTTTCTTTAATATATATAAATTACCTATTTATAGAACATTGTTTTCCTGTTACCCTTATACCACTGCAACCACTTTTGAAATAACGCAAGTGATCTTCCTTTAAATATAATACTTAATACGCAACAGAGAGTTCTAAAGTATAGGAAACAACAGAGATTAAAAACAAGAGGGACACAGTGAGTTTTAGTTTATCAGAAAATGTTTATGCTTTACCTCTCGTATTTCATGGCCAGCTCCTCTATACGACTGCAAGTCCTCCAAGATGCCTTCTGCATCTTTTAAAACTACATTCACCTGATTATAAATTTCCTTCTCAGACTCTGTAGGCTGGGCATCTAAACAGCAGGAAAGCACAAGAAAACTTACAGTCACGTGATTTTTTTACTACATGTATAACTCTAAGCAATTAACAATCCAAATTTCTAAAGATGACTAACATTTTCTTCAATGTTAACTTTGCACTTCTTAGAAAAGATCAATAACTTTTCCACAATTCTACATCTGAATAATTAGCCTCAAGTTTGTAAATATCACAAAGAAGCAAAGGAACACCAAACGTTATTTTTTTAAATTACAAATCATGACTTGGTATATTAAATAAACTTGAGAATTATAATTCAAAATTTAAATTGTGATCATGTTAATCACCTTTTCTACTACATTCATCACTATCAAAATGACTGCAAACGCATTAGTAATGAGCTATTTTAATACTACAGAAATGAAAGGCTGATTAATATTATCTTGCTCACCTATGGTTTAAGATCGAAACTACTTTTTTCCCCATAAGGTTCACTTTAATGACTGACCTTTGATATAAATAATGAAGAACTGTTTTAAAAGAAGAGTGTTCACATGCTCCCCTCTTCTAGGGACCACTCTAAATCCTGTACCAATGAACTCTGCTGCTTAACACCAGGGCAAGACTGCTGTGCAGAGGAGTTCAATCATGAAACTGCTCCAGAATTACTAAGCTGCTGAAAACTAGACACTTTAAGCTACAATACTATCCACGGAAATTTTGAAATACTAAAGCAAAAACTGAGTTGTTATATACTTGAGATTGAGTGAGAGAAAAATGAAGCAAGAATCATAGTTATAAAAAGCATAATCAGATACACAAACATATGGGCATTTCCACCACCTGTGGTGTTAGCCACAAAACAGAGGTTAATAGATGATTAAATCTGGATTTCTCTCTGCCAGCCTCGAGGTAACAGAAATCTTGCTTTTATTAACTTGGTCATTTGCTTCTCTAAGGATAAATCTTTTTATTTAATACATTTGATTATTTTTTGGAGGGAGAAATGGGAGCTTCATGAGGAAATTGAGTTTTTCATAAATCTTTCAAAGACCACATTCAGTATCAGAGATAAGGCAGGAAGCACTTAAAATGATAAACATTACCATTAGCGTAATGTTTTAGAGAGAGATTATGCTGGCAGAACACCTCTATGCTAACATTTTCCCTTCTGGGGCTGGGGGAGGCAGATCAAATTTATAAACTGAATTTACAAAATTTCTGATAAATCTCTTTACCAATCATATAAAATTAGTACCTAGATTTTTCTGCAGGCTCCTTTCCTCTCTACAAATACACAATGATCTATTTACTCCTCTCCTTAGAAAATTTAAAGAAACTTAGTTCACACATGAAACTAGAAGTCAACATGCCTAAAATCTGTAACTTTATTTGTGCTTGGTCACGTCATAATTCAATTCCACCTAACAACCTGCCAATTAGTAAAAAATATAGACTTTTTTAAATTAACAATTACGGTATCAAATTTTAAATTCAACATATTTAAAACAGTACTATGGCAACAATAATAAAGTAACATTTACATGCAAAATCGACTTAAGATTTTGTGTTCTCATATCTGTTCCCGTATTTTTCAAATTTCCTTTCAGAAATCATGTGTCTTTTCTTTTTTAATGAAAATACTATGACAAAATAATTACACAAGAGGAGCCAACTGAAAAATTAAAAAGACTCTGTGTCCAAAGCCATAAAGGTATTACTAGGAGCAAATACTGATATTGTAGCTAAATGGTTCTTTAAAAATCAGGGTTTATCATTCAGCAGTAATATTTTCTCACATTTAGCCAGATCGTATTCTCCAAAGTAATAGTTAGACAGACGCTTTAAAAAGTATACCTCATAACTTTTATACTTACACCAGATGCAGTAGAGAAAAATACATTTTACATGCAATAACAGCAGTTTTATACTTTTTCTTATGGAATTGTGAAACTACAGACATAACATCAATAGTAGACACATATCATAGTTTGAATTCATGAAGTGGGAATTCATGACAAAGGACAATATTTTGACTATTATATATCAAAAGATATGTGTGAAGTTTAAAAATACTAAACTACATATTTTTGATGTGGTGACTAGTTGTTAACGGAAAAATGTGACACTGAGACTTACGTACAAAAGAAACATTATCAGGGAGGTTTAGATAGACCTTGGAAGTGGTTAATAATTATTTAAGGTTTAATAAGTACCAAGAAATTTAAAATAAAGGAGAAAATTCCAGTTTCCCCTAAGGGTGGAAAAAACACCCAGCACCACACTGATTAAACATTTTTTAGACTGTCACAGAAAAGTCACATTTAAAATTTTGAAAGCTGCTGAAGACTGCTATAGAAATGAAGACAAACAGAAAATAGCAGACAGGTAAGCACTACTTTACTGATAGCAAGTCATGCAAAAGGGTGATACTAGGGAGGGCAAAAGGCTATACAGAATAAAGCATTTTTTTCAAAAAATGATATTATATAATGCAAACAAGACTTGTCACTTTGATTTTTCATAGTAAAGAACGAAAAATTTTATTACTTGAAGAAAAATGTACCACTTAGCCAGCTACCAAAAGGACACTCATTTGATTGCAAAATAATGTATCTACTACTGAGAGTAGAATGACTGATTTCTCATCAAGCTTAGTTGAAAAAACTGTTCAAGGGAAATCAAAGCATATTTCAGTTGTGCTTACTGTTTGAAGGTAAAATTAAATATTTTAATAATTTCCCCCAGTTTCCTATGGAAGAGTCACTGAAAATAACTGCTAAAATTGATGCTGTTATGGTACA